TGTTCATACTTTGCGACTCGGGAGGATCGGTGTTTATGGGAAAAGGGCTATAAGGAAGTGAAAGTGTCGAATTTTCCCAAAACGCTAGCAACTGCGCGTCGGTCGATACGTGCACTTTCCTTCTCGCGCATTCTCTCACAACACCGATTTTCTCGTTAAAGTATGAGCGCGGCCAACATGGAAGTTTTTTTTCAGAAAAAGCTTCCGATATTCTGCAAAGAGAAGAGGAATCTTTTATGCGTGGTCATGGACGATTTATTCCTGATGATCCGAGGTTTCCGAACTTTTACTCCTATTGTTCTTATACTTTTACTGTCTCGAGGCTTTTTCTTTCAGGTTCAACCAAAGTCATTTTATAAAAGAGAACAGCTGGGAACCGAGCATCATAGAGGAGTCCTCTTCCGAAAAAGCCGAATTCACCTGCTCTCCTTCAAAGCTTCCTGTTCCGCCGGTTAGTCACGCAATCTCAAGAGATTCTGCTTGAAAACAGATACTGGATTTATCTGCAAGGGTCATCGTTCCCATGTACGAGGGGAATGGTCCGAACGAACCACTTTCTTCTCTCGACGATGCGCGGAAACCAGGCTGAGCAGTTCTTGTGCTCGTGCCGGCTCCATATTCCGCCCGCGCTATCCTCAAGGTGCAGCACGTGCTTCGATAAAGGTTGTGCAACGAAAACATACTCAGCGCCAGAGAGTATGAAGTCAGCACATGGGTACTGCTGCCTGGTTTCCAGTGCAGTTTTCATCGAAGGCGCCAGGCTAACAGCTACGGACCCATTCTTTTCAAATATTGGCAAGGATCAGAACCCACCGAAGTGAGAGTACAGTATGTCTTAAGAGCCACATTTCACGATTACCTAATGGCGAGAATATTCTTCTCGCTTGAATATTTCGTGCAATCGCTGTGGTTATAGCACTTTTGCGACTCGACAATGAGTAAGAATGACCCTGCGGTCGCCATTGGTCGAATGAGTGCGGCCCATAGAAGTTACCCCACCCGCTTAAGGCTGAGTCATGCCAGCGCTCCTCAAAGTCTATATACAGATATGGACGGTGCTGCGTCCACTTGTAAGGCGTATACCTTCTCGTCTGTCTTCTTATCACCACTTATTCGTTTACTTGTTTGGAAGACTGAAGGAACCGGAGGGGCGCCCAAATCTGCGCTGGCTCGACATGCCGCATGTGGATTTCAAAGTATTAGGTTGGCGGGAAAGTTCTGTCACTTTTTTCAAATTGGGCTTTCTTTTTATAGAGAGGCGTGTAAGATCAAAATTGTACAGCAATGTTACTGCGGGGTCCTTGCCTGTTTTTGAGCACCTCATGGATGCCATCGCTTCACAATGCAGGGAGGCGCGATACAAAGTTGGACATCATCTCAATCTTGGCTTGAACTTTTCGAGGTTTTCTCGTAATTTCTCGTCCAGTAATGACATTTGTTTGCGAAGGCAACTCGCAGTTAGAAGGAGCATAATGTCTGTGCTACACCACTGCAAGGGGAGAGCCATCCAGCTCTATTGCATGAGGAACGGCTAGAACTTTTTTGGAAGTGCGCTGCACTATCAGAAGCATTTGGAGGGGTCGGTGGCGATGGTAGCGGATAACATTCTTGTCCATATTGCAGAAGAAGAAGAAGCAGGAATCAAGCGAGTGGTACTAATAGAAAGACCACTCTTTGATGTATAAGTGCTCACATTACCGTTCACCCCTCTTCAGGTAATGGGCAAATATTTTGAGTTCGAAAAAGTGACAGAACTTTCCCGCCAACCTAATACTTGACGCCCACCAGTCGAGCATCTACTCGGGAGAAGTAGCGTCACATTGCCAGGAGCGTAGAACTTGTCATACGATGCTACAAATCATCTGGAGAAAAAGAAATAGGACTACGTTCATACTTTGCATCAGCGTTTTGAGCGTTTGGGACAAGCGTAGGTGTCGATCCAGCACGGCAAGGGTTTGAATGACTAGGAACTATAGTTATCGATCTAGCGTATGAGCGTATCTAACGTTTTGAGCTTTTCTAGGACAGACACTGGAGACGCTACCATACGCTTGCGTACGCTAGATCGATAACCATATTTCCCTAGTCGCTTACGCTGTCATACCCTTGGAACGCTTAAAACAGTGCGCAGAAAAAAAATCTGTTAGTCTGCGTGGTTGCAGTGGTAGGCTGTCCTTGAAGGAATGCTCTTATGCTCCTATTTTTAGGGTGTTGAAAATGAACCGCCAGAATTTGCTGAAGGGTGTGCAAGTGGTGATGACAACGCGGCAGCGGATGGCGGTGATCTTGACAGGGTTTGTGGTATCCTATTTTTGAACAATAATAACAACAAGAATTTTTGAACTGCTCCCTTGAAGACATCATTTTTCAGCATGTTCAGTTTCGTGCTGCCACTCCCACTGAAGGCGATATTCCAAGAGAAACTGTTCTTACTAATCTTACTAACAAACCCAATAATGAAGTTGCGGTGGGTGTTTCATTCACCCTCATCCTGGAGATGGGAGGTCGTGGCTGCTTTTCTCATTAGGAGATGGTGCGCGTCGCGCTTTCCGTGGAACTCAT